TCTGCCCGAAAAACTACTTAAAGAGAAAATACATTCTATTATATAGTCATCAAGGCGAACTGATTCAAAAAGAAGGGAGGCCAACACAAAAACTCAAAATAGGCGATAAGACCTACAAATACGACAAGAACAAACCCGTTTCAAAGGTATTGAACACCAAACTCAAGGAAGCGGCGAGGAGCGACGGATATAGAAAGCACAGTCTTTTAATGAAAGGTGCTAATTATCTCAAACTCACGAGGGGCAGACCCTTACAGGATGATTTCAAGCGGTTCAAGTCCAAAATAACTGACGAGCAACAAGCGTTCACACCTACTCGGTAAGTGATATAAGGTTGAAGGGGATGAAAGGCTTATCATACCTAAAGTATCAGAAGCAACGACTCGCAGAATTCCTCAACAAAAGCCCAAACATAAAAATCATCGTGGAAACCGATTTATCATTCAAGAACCCTAACAATAAAGTTATCCAAAGGAGGTTATGAAGCAGAAGATACACTATTCATAATCCTGATGAGTTGAACAGTGTTTTACACAACATTGGACACGACATTGAGACACAAATTGAAATAACCGAACGCATTCAGTCTGGATTGGTTCTTGCACAAGTTGAAAAGTTATTGTAGTAAGAAGCTATCATAGGTATAATCCTACCCGTGGTTCATCCTTTATTCCTACACCTGATTGGGTAGCTAATAAAAAGGCTTGTGTTAACATTAAAAACGAGGATGACTTGTGTTATAAAATATTCTGTTCAATGTGAATTTTATGAGATATACAAAAAGGACCATCCCTGTGACATGTACCATTACAAGAAATTTTGTTAATGATAGTTTCATCAAGTGGGATAATATAGAGTTTCCTCTTGGTAATGATGAGATTGAATTCTTTGAGGAACAAAACAATCACATATCGGTCAATGTTTATTACACAAACCCCGATACAAATAGTAAAACTATTTTATTATACAAAAGAAGCAACATCCCGCAACCGCAACACACAATAGATTTCTTTTTGATTGATGGTGTTAAATCACACTACGCTATCTCAAAAATTATGATAAGTTGATGAGTGGTCAGACTATCAAAAAGAAAATCAAAAAGTATCATTGTAGAACCTCTCATAGTTTTCAATCAGAAGAACTTTTAAAGAAACACGAAGAACAGGGATGTCTAGCAGTGGAGGGACAGAAGATAGAAATGCCAAATGTTGGGGAGACTATAGCATTCCAAAACCATGTCAAGAAACTAAAGGCTCCCTTCGTAATCTAATGCTGACTTTGAATGTTTGACTGTGCCCATTGATGTGAAAAGCAAATCGGCAAAAGCTAAAACTACATCATATCAAAATCACCGTCCTTAACAGGGGACCATCAACAGGCTTCCCGTCAGGGCCCCCCTTTTTTACAATTTTTTTGGGGTTCAAGCAAGCACGACCAGCCGCTGCGGGCCGCCCTGCGCGAGGCCCGGCGCCGGAAGGAGCGCACCTACGGAGCTGCTGCGGTCCTAGCGGTGCCGCCTTGTGGGCGCTGCTCAGCACCGCTCTGCAGTGCGTCCTTGGGGACCCCTTTGAGCGGCCAACCAAGGAAGGAGCTTTGGTCCGGGTGGTCCGTGGCGGCCCTGAGGTAAGGTTCCACCAGTTCCACCAGGGTTCCACCAAGGTTCAAAAAAGTTCAGCGAAGGCTGCGGGGTGGTGCGTGGTGGTCAACGCGCCCCTCCGGCCCCCACCCAGGCATGTTCGAGCAAGGGGAGCACGGCGCACAAGCGGCATGGTCGCCCAACGTGTCAAGAGCAGCCCCGCATCTGTCCCCCCCGCAGCGGAAAACAAAAGGCATAGAGGCATGCAAAGGGAAAGTAGGCAGTGAAATGCATAGAGGCACGCATAGGGCAAGTAATTACTGAGGCAAGTGCATAGACGCATGCGCAAAGAAAGTAGAAAATGAAGGGCGCAAGGAAAGTAGGCTCAGGAACAAGCATTGCATCGTCAATACTTTTCACGCGCATCTGTCTGATCACAGGGCTGCTGTGCGCCAAAGTGCCTCTCGAACAGAGAACGCGCACGATTGCTGGCGCTAAGCTCGCGGCCTCTGCGCCCATGCGCTAACACCACTCCCATGGCACAACACGCGTCCACAACGATACACCCAGCTTGCACAAATGATGATAAACGTGGTCGCGTGCATCCACAAGCGCTCCACCCATTCTGGCCTAAAGAACAATAAACACGCTCACCCATGCAACTCATAAACAGCTTCCCACACACATCCACAACCGCTGCGCCCATGTCGCAAATACTGACAAACACGATCCGAGAATCCGCACAAAAAAAATCAGCCAGCCACCACTGTGCTGGGTTGCAAAATTATAGCAAGGCGCTCCGTGAGTGCAGTTGCGCTGGAGTTCCACACTGTGAGCAGAGCGGCAGGACACGGCGCTTGGTCGTTCCCCACTTTCGTGGCTTTTCACGCCGCTACAGTTGGAAAACGCGGGCATGCTGCCCGGGCTACAAACAGCCGGTTCGTCGACTGACCGCTCTTCAGCCTGCCTGCCTAGTGGAAGGAGGAGCAAATCGAAAAACAACTCTACGTGGCAGCGCTCTCGCCAATTGCAACTAGAAGAGCAGCCTGAACCGGTCCATTTTTCCAGATATCCAATGCGAATGCGAGCACGATGGCAGTGCCAAAAGCAACGATTTCCAAGGCACATGAAGAAAGAAAGAGTTTGAGAACTTGCCATAGAAGAGACCCATGCTGCAGACTGAATGAGTTCTGTAGTTTTTTTTTTGCGCCAATTGTTCTGCGCAGGCTAGTGCGTCGTTCTCAGCAAGTTGTCATGGGCAATACTGTTGAACTTGAGAATTGCAACTTTTCAGCCGAAGCTGCCGGAGCGCGCCACGCGTGCTAGTTTTGAACTTGAGTTGCGACTTTGCAGGAGCTGCGGGAACGTGCTTCGTACGTAAAAAAGTATTTCGCGTACTACTTTTGTACTTGAAAGTTCCGGCTGTGCAGCCGGAGCTGCGGGGACGTACTTCGCGTATTGCTTTTGTTTGCGACTTTGCAGCCGGAGCTGCGGGGACGTACTTCGCGTGCTACTCTCGTGCTTAAAAGCGGGGCACGGCATGGCCAAAAGAAAGACAGGGGGCCCAGCAGAAAATGGTTGAGCTAAAAATGGTTGCGGCACAAGTGCATCCGCAGAAGCGGCAACAACCCGCCATCCCTCGCACCAGAAGCCAGCCAACCCGCATCAAGGGCGCTGACGTGCGCGTCGATGGGGAGAGCGTCCGCCAAGGCACAGGGGCGGCAGCCGGCCCTGCGCTTTTGAAGAGAGGGGGCACGGGCAAGACGCCAGCGTGGGCAAGCGTAGCTCATGGCCACGAACAGTGTGCGCCCGAAGGACACCATGGGCGCATGAATGTCGGCTCGGCGCGCGCTTGATGCTGTCAGCCCCGTCAACAAGTTCGAGCGACCCCGGCGGCCCTGCTTGCCAAGCTTCCCAAGAGGTGCTGTTGCGGCAGGCGCTGACAGCGAACGCGCGTCCCGACCGACGCTCCGCCAGAGCGGGCGACTGGCAGCATGGCTGGCAGTTCGACGCTGCTCGCACTGCTGCCTTCCCTCAGCCCAGGTAGCCAAGCGATGCTTCGCTCCCAGGCGCCTCATGCGGGGGCATGGCTCACTGCCATCCCCGTGATGAGGCAAATCGGTTTTGTAGTCGTCCTGCCGCCTGCGGTGTGGGGACGCCAGCCACGATTGTACACAGCCCAACCATGTCGCTGCTCGAGAGGGCTTGGGTGAGAGTCGCACGCGAGGCCGCCGGCTTCGAGGGCCAGGTTTTTCCTTCTATCTAGCCATCTACTTGTCTGCCTACGTATGTGTCTACCTTTGTATCTATCTATCTACCTACCTTGGCATCTATTTGCCAATCAACAGTCTGTCTGTTGTGTCTGTCTTTTGTCGATTTGCGCTTTCTATCTATCTAATCCATCAAGCACACACCAGTGTGCCAGGGGTCGATGCCGCCGATTGGCGGCGGCTGGACCTCGTCGTCCACAACAACACGGCTTCGGGCGTTTGGTTGTGTTGCGATGCCACGCTTGTCTCGCCCTTGAACCGCGAGGGCAGGGCGCAGGCGGGAGCCGCCGATCGAGACGGCGCGGCGTTGCGCGCGGCAGAGCAACGCAAGCTCGCTGCCGGCGCTGGCGGGTTCGTTGCTCGGCCTTCCGCCCGCGCCGATGGGTCTTCGAGCTGGCAGCCAGTGCCCGACCCAGCCGTCTGCCGCTCCGCAGCCAAGCACAGGGCCCGGCGGTTAGAGGATGCCTCTATGCATTTCACTGTCTACTTACTTTCCCTGTGCAGGCATCTTTCCACTTCACTCTGTACTTGCCCTATGCATGCCTCTATGCATTTCACTGTGCGCTTGCCTTACACATGCCTGCACAAATTTCACTCTGGACTTGCCCTTTGCATGCCTCTATGCATTTCACTGTGCACTTTCCCTATGCATGCCTCTATGCATGTTAGCCTGCTTCCCCTATGCAGTTGAGCTGTGCAGAACGCAACGACTTTACCGGAAGAACCCTTCGCAATGCTTTCGGAAAAAACAGGCATCATTGACAGCATGTGGATCTACCAAAAAGAAACAACGGGCCGAAACTGAGCAACGCCTACCCCAAGGAGAAAGGCACCGGACACCGCACGTGACCCAAAATGGCAGCGCTGGGAGTCTAGCCGCGGGAGACGTTCGGAGTTTTTTTGGGTGCTTTTTGGTAATGCCAGTCGTGAGTCATCATTGCATATTCTGCTTCACCCGAAATCTGCTTTGGACGAGAATCCAATTTCTGCGGTGACTATACAAAACTGAAAGGTTCCGCATGCCAATTCCTTTCTCGCAGCTATCAGCGAGTGTGCGGCAAGCATGTGCATTTTTTGGGCATTGTTGAATTGTTTTGCATTGTTGAAGTCCTTGCACTAGCTCAACCATGAACATAATATTTGAGTCGCTTCACAGCATTTTGGCTTGGACATTTGCTTCTCTTGGAGCTCCACCCAGCTTACACGCGAGCAAAGCTCTTTTGTTTTTGTGTTGGCACGATTGGCCCTAGCTGTGCCAGCTTGTTGATGCCATGTCTTTGAAAGTTGGACTGGTGCAGATTCAGCCTGCAAGCGAGCCGCCATCAGTTGGCAAAGCTCAGCTCGTACAGCATGCAGCAGACTTGATCAGCAAGGCACCGCAGGCGGACATCTATGTTTTGCCGGAACTAGCCCCGACTGGTTACAATGCACACGTGTTCAATTCTCTGGACGAGATGTCAGAAGATGAGCGACTGGAAACGGCGCCTTGCCGGCAAGCTCTTTCGCTGGTCGCCCGGGAGCGTGGCGCGTATATTTGTTACGGAGTTCCAGGCCAAAGCCAGTCTGGGTTTTGCATCCGGCAGGTTGTGTTGGACCCTTCAGGTGAGGTGATCGCAAGCTACGACAAGATCCATCTCTGCGATTTTGGGGACTGTGCAGAGACTCGGCACTTCACCTGTGGAGAAACCTTGTGCACCTTTGACTGTAAAGGCTTCCGCGTGGGTTTGTTGATATGTGCTGACATTCGCTACACAGAGCTCTGCCGGGAGCTTGCAGTGGGACGAGGGTGCGAGATTCTGTTGCAGCCCGCGGCCTTTGCCCGCGACGTCACGTATGCTACGTGGCAATCTTTTGTAGAGTGCCGTGCTCTAGAGAACCAGGTGTATTGGGCTGCTGTGAACTATGCGGGGCCGGACTTTGGTGGTTCAATGTGGTGCCCACCATGGGTTGACGGCAAGCACAAGATCACGTCAAGAATTGGAATGGAGGAAACCGTCGTGGTTCATGAGGCGACCAAGGACGAATTGAGGTCAGTCAAAAGCTCTTTCCAATTTATGAGGTGCCGCAAGGAACGAGGGGAGTACAAATGAACATCACCTGATAGTCATGTGCTGTGCTAGCCATCGCGGAAAATAATGTCATGCAGTCCTGCATGTGGAATCCTGATGCGCTTGCCTTGGGAGCCAGGAATTCTTAGCAAGAGGAAGCCCCTTATGAGCCCGCGCAGACTGTTTTTACACGCTTTCTTGCATGTTTCCTTTTGGACCTTTGAAAGCTCAGTGTGTCACAGCTTGTGCTGGAGGAGCCCTGAAGGAACCTGTCAGGATGTTCATGCTTTGTTTTGGTGTTTGGTTGGAGCCATCATCAGCTCAAAGACGCTATGGACTCCCCACTGGCAGCATATCAGCTTCCAACTTCCAACTTAAGCCCGAATCTCAACAAGCAGAGCAAGCCTTCAGCCGAAACAAACCACGCAGGGCATGCCTAGATCCACCGCGCCATGATCACTTTGCGCAGCAGACATGTGCCAAAGGCGCCAAAGGCGAAGCCCAAGGCCAGATCTGCGACGAGCCGTTTCACGCGGAGGTCATATCTGCGTCGCAAGCCCCCGCTGCTGAAGACCAACGCTGTGGTGCACTTGGACTCGCCGGTGGAGGTGCCGGTGCCAAGCGTGGAGCTGTCGGCTCCAACGCGCTTGCACAGCTTCGCGGCCCACGGGCACAAAGCCCGGTGCGGGGTGAAGGTGCCCTTTGCAGTCACCAGCTGCTGCACGCTGGCCGGCCGCCTCGCCACGGGAGGAGAGGATGGCTTTGTGCGAATCTGGAACGCTGTGACCGGGGAGCAAGTATTTGCGATCCGGGCGCATGAAGGCGGTGTGCTGTGCGTGACCCCGTTTCCAAATGGCAGGTGTTTTCTGACCGGCGGCTGCGATGGGTTCGCCAAGATTTGGAAGATACAGGGCAGCAGCAAGCCTTCCCTTTTCGCGTCTTTGAATCACAGATTTGTGGTTGTCTCTGGGGTTGTCTATCCCGACGGTTGTCAGCTCATCACCCTTGGATTGGATGGCGTTGCCAAAGTTTGGCGTGTGGAGAATGAGGAGTTTCTTTGTCAAGGCGGTGCGGGTCTCAGCGCGTTGACCATCTCACGCTTCGGGGGCAACGTCTTCACCGCGGGCATGCGGGGGCAAATCGAGCGGTTCTCCGACGATGGGCAGCTGCTGTGCCAATTCAGCGGCCACGCTGGGCCGGTGAATGCAGTGGTGGTCTTTCCCAACCAGTCCCGTGTGGTGACTGCAGGTGATGATGGCCAACTTGTGGTGTGGCTGATGTCAGGGAAAGAAGCGCTGAGACTGGAGCCGTATCAGTCCCCAGTGCTTTGCGTGGATGTGTCGCCCTGCAGTCACTGGATCCTTTCAGGCAGCAAGGATGGAGTGGCACGCTTGTCCAGCGCAAATACTGGCAAGACGGTTTGCAGTTGGCAGCTGGGCCAGGCAGGGTAGGGCCGGCCGCACACCTTTTGAATTTTGATTCTTCTGAAGCTGCGAACCCCACTTGCCAGTTGCAGGCCTTTGGCAGAAGCACTGGCGTCACCATGGAGGTTGCGGAGCGCTCGCAGTTGGAGACGCGCCAGGTGCAGGCTGGTAACCGGTGATTTGCTTTGCCAGAGTTATTCTGGACAAACATGTTCTCTACCTGTCTTTTGGCAAAGCCACCTGGGGGCAAAAAGAGCTTACCATGATGTAAGTAGTTTAGATTTCCTATTTTTCTGGGAGCAAGGGGTCAGATTCCAAAGTATCACTAATTAGTTACGGGTGATTGGCTGGGTACGTCTCTGGGCCCAAACCTTCTAGTTCCCCAACGGCTGGGCGGGAATTTGCGGTTTGGATCTACAGTTTTTGGCCCGAGTATATACTGCTCAGCTGGTAAACCTACCAGCGGAACTCAGTGGCGCGATGTGACCCATGGAACAAGCTTCTTGTGCAACATCTTCGATCTCGTGATTTTAATGCTGCAGCCGCCAAGGTCATCTCCGGAAGTGGCCTCACTTCGAGACCGACAAAAAGGGCCGAGTCGTCACTTCCACAAACCGGGGTCTGGTGGCCCTCGATCGCCCTCACGAACAGGTCTTCTATGAAGTGGAAGGGATCAGCTTCGCTGGCAAATTCACGCCCGTGTCCACCGCGATCTCGCAAGTCGCCCTGCTGGCCTGCGCGCGCGCGTCTGACCATGCTCCAGGGCATGCAGGATCGTAGATCCCACACGTGTAGCCTGCTTCCGCCATAGAAGCCGCTTCCCCCTGTGTCCGAGCCCTTCTGCGTCCCAGGCGCAAAGTCGAGGAATTTAAGTCCATGGCAGATGGCTCCGTGGTTCTGCTGAAAGTCCCAGTGGAGACGTGGATCTCTGAAGGTCAGCATGAGGGCCTTGACCGGGGAGCATGCGATCGCGGGCAAGGAGCGCGTGGCTGTTGCTTTAGCAGCATCCCGCCCAAGGCAACAAAGAGCTTGAGGCGTGTGGAAGCCACAAGGTTGTCGTGGACACACTTGACTGTTTGCATTTCGCCGCCCTCGGTTCACACGCAGAGCTCTTGAGTCATCTTGGCTGCAGGGAAAGAATCCTAATTGTGTGTTTTTTACAGCGCACCAAGGGCTCTGAGGAGTTCCCGGGGCCAATTCTGAAAACAACATGCATTGCGTCGATTTGTGGAGACTTCCGTCAGGGAGAAACGACAAGAAAGGCCAGCAAATTAGTATATTTCTGTGAGAACTTGTGGCGTTATGTTCCCCCCCATCTAAGCGTGTGAGCAACGAACGCGCTCAGGTGGCGGGGTTTGCCCGATGATGTCATACATGGATTGGTCCAGTAAGCTGTTCAGCTAGCCTTTTGTCAGCCGTGCAACTCCATGTTCCTCGTCTTGCTGTTTGCAGATGATCCGCGGCTGCAAGTGTCAGTTTTGTATTTTCATCACGCGTACGTCCTAAAAATGGAGCCTGTCATGGTCGCCGGCACGCGGCCAAGCACTACAGAGAAACGCGGGAACTTCTGATGCGAGCGTCCATGCATCACACATGCAAAGGAACAGGTGGACAGTTTTTTGTTTGAATACTTGTTAGGCAAATCTGCGCCCCTCAGACTGCAACGGGCACCAGGCGAGATGCGACTGCCCTGCTCGCACCTGGGCTCTCACCTCGAAGTGTGAAGACACCGTCCAGAAGCGTGCCTTCCGGGGATTTCTATTGCCTTCTGTGCATCGGACGCGTCCACCTTTTATTGAGCTATCCTAGGTGTTGCCACAAAATTCCGAGGTACACAAGCCTTTGTGGGGTGAATTTTTATATGCTTTGCATCATGCGTTGTTCCGTTGAACCTGCTCCTGTGCCTGCGGGGCTCAATGTCGATCCATTGCGCTAGCAGAGGCCGGAAGAGTTTTCATGCTGTGCTCGTGCTATGCCTCGATACATCTATTCGGTGCAAATCCCATTGCATCGGTCGATTCTGTCCTCGTCATCTACCCAACCCAGATTGGGCCAGCGACACCCTTTTGCTGCCATCTGGCGTGGGCTAAATAGCTACGACTTTCGAGCTCCAGCTGCGGAAGCGTCCCTTGCCTGCATGTGCTACACGTGATTTTACAAGGCCTTACGTTCCACGTAGATCTCCGCAACAGGATGGGTGCAGAGTTGCTCGTCACGTACCCTCAAACCGTCAGTCGCATTTGAGCACAATACTTGTTCCGCTGAGAACTTCTTTTTCTGTACGACGGCCTGGCGAAAGCCTGCTCTAAGCCCCAAAGCCTGCTCTGCAAGGACGCATGAGGAATTTCTTCACAGGGTATGTATGAAACGAATGTGCTCCACGGCCCTGTCGCATACCCGCCCAAGAATTCACTGCCGCAATCCCATTCAATTTTTCAACCGGCCCACACCCGTTTCCTGCGTTTTCCGGTTCCACCCTCTAGTGTATCTCGTTTGGTGCGCAATGTTGTGCACTCCCTCGACGCACAGCTGGTACGTTGCAGGCCTGCGGCTTCTGTGGCACATGCTTTGTGCTGGCTGGAGCATTCGGACTTCAAGTGTGGCAGCTCCCAGCGGTCGAGACGATTGACTAGGCAATGAGAAAAGCGGTGCAGGCGGCAAGATTTGGGCCATGGACGGGCACGATTCCCGGCCTGGGCCACGATGCCCCATCTAGATTCTCTGACTTCCCTGAAACGGAGGGCTTGGCTCAGGCTTAAGGTGTTGATTCATGACGTCCATGGTTGGCTCAGGTGCATCAAGCAACACAAGCAAAACAAGCAACACAAGCAAGGCAGCGCATGAACACGCCCGGCGTTTGAAAGTCAATGCTTTGTAGGATTGAGCCCACTACCTTGGCTCTACTCGCAGAACCCGGCTTTGCTGCCGCACCCGCTTCCCTTTGGATGGGATGGCGGAAGGGAAAGAGCTCTCCGAGATGGGTGCTGAAGTCTGAGTCCGAGAAAGAAGGTTCAGTTGAGGCACTACACCTTGAAGTGTATAGGTGACGGGCAGGGGCAGAGGTAGAACCTGAGTGTCACAAAGGCGTCAAGGAAGGTACATTAAATGTGCCGTAGCCAAGGTCAGCCGGAGTTTGCAGCAGCTGCTTTTGGAGCATCTTGCTAGCCTTTTTCTGTGTATGATGTGGTTGGCTGCCAATGTGATTGCCTGAGGCAAGAGACCAACCTGCTGGCCTCCATTCAGGATCTCCTGAAAGAGCAAGAGAAACGCCTTGCCGATCGTTTATTGGCCTCTTGGACGCAGTCTTAAAGCCTTGGATGTTTAGCAGCTGGCGGGGGTGCAATTCGTCTTCTTTAGGCCGAGCTGCCTCTCCAGCCAAAGGCGGGGAGAGAGAAATGTGGGCGTTCTCGCCTCTCCCAGCACCTTCGAAGTGAAGTGTCTGAGGCCATTCCTGCCAAGAGGCGAGCAGACGCGACGCGCAGTTGCGAAAGTCTTTCGAGTGCAGCTTGTGGCTTTGGGCGGCGCCTTGAGCTCCCAAGTTGCGAAGCTTAGCCATAAGCCACAAAGCAAGTGCGCAGTACAGGAAGTACATGTGGCTGTGGGTCAAACATGGGTATCCAAAATGGAACACTTGTAAATGGAACCAAGGACTAAATGCTGTGGTCCCCTGATGGTTTAATTTTGACCCACACCCATGCTTTGCATCTTGCATGTTTTTCTGGATCGTGTACTTGCGTAATTGGTGCCAGTACTTCCGTGACTGTCGAGCTGCCACAACTGCCAAATGTGCCCGACGAACCCATTGTGCTACCCGAGAAGCAGAGACAGCAGAGCAAGGCCAGGAGGGTGATCTGCCAAAGCCAATGTACAATCATGCACATGAGATTCACAGCCCGCTCGCCTGTTTGAACAATTCCTGCTTTGTGATTGCCTGAGCTGCAACCCTCCTCGAAGGACCATTCCATCAGCGATGTGCAGCGCGATTCTCTCGTTGGGCGGCAGTTCCCTGATGCATTATCCGGCGCAACAAGCAAACGATGAACGTAAGGCTTCCCAACAAATGTTGGCTCATGCACTCAGGACAACTGATTCCAAACTGGAGGCGACCGCAGCGGAAAAAGCCGAAGCAAAAGCCGAAGCATCCCGAGCGGAAGCAGCCAGAAACCGGATGACCAAGTCAGTGACGGCGCACTTACAAGCTGAGATGCAAGAAAGCAGCCACCAGATTCTGAGCTGCAAGATTGCTCGCCTGCTGCCAACCTTTAGGTACAAGCCATCAACCATCAAGGGCCAGGCTTTGCAAGGTGGTGAACCGTGACGACTATGATTGTTTTTGACGTGCTTGTGTTTGTTGGTAGGGAAGGAAAGCATTTTAACCCGTCTGGTGGCGAAGTCTGTGATGGTTTGTGAGTTCGGCATGGCCATTTGCATGGAAACTCAGGGCATTTAAGAAGTTTGGAGATCCGATATTGGATACCGACACGAAGGTGGAGGCAAGACCTGCTCTCTGGCGAGTGTCGCTCAAATCTTGCTATCCGTTGACATTTCTTGGCAGCCGAACCTCCGGTTTTGCTGTAGCACGATGGCTTGACTGATGCATTGAATTGGGGGTACCTACCGCCCCATGCAAAGCGTCGCAGGTTCTGCAAAAGAAGGCGCGGCTCTTCCTGGAAACGCCCACGATCCTCGGCAGTGGCTTCAACTTCCCATGGGAAGATGGTAGGGAGATCTTTGAGAGATGTATAAGGAGAAAAGAGGATGCCACCGGAGTGCCCTGAGTCTGGATGTGCGCGGGAACAGGCATGAGGCATCGCTAGCTGTTGCGAAGTCGCCCCGCTTGGCACATGAGCAGTCTCATCGGTATCTGAATAATCCGGGCCGTGACTCGCCGAGGTTTGGAAAAGTGCTGGCCCTGGTCATCCTGGTAAACTGCTTCAGCTTGGGCTGCTGGGAGCAAGCTGGGTCGCAGGGCGAGTGTAGGTTTGGTTGAAGGCGCTAAAGGGGCAGTGTACAGTTGGTCTAGGGCAAGTTCGGAGTGCTAGGGTTGGCTGAGAGTGGGTTTGAGTCTTTTTTGGGTTAGTTTAGGCTGAAAGGTCGGTTTAGGCTTGGTTCAGGGTGGGTTGAACATGCGGCTGAGGTTGGTTTTGCGCTAGGGTTGGTTTAGAATTGGCTCGGGCTTCTGGATTGGCTGGTGGAGGATTCCACTCACTAATCACCTGCTTGGTTTGACAGCTGTCTAGTCAACGCCACTTGCCCATGCTAGTTCTGACGCTGCTTCTGATGTGTGTCAGGTTGCGCATGCTTGATATTTTGGTTTGTTGGTTAAGCCCTCAAAATAGACATTGTTGGAACTTTCGTTCGGCAGAGGTCTTTTTTTGTCGGTTTCAAAGGGCAACTAAATGAGATACTATACTTTTTTGTTTTTTTTTTTGGGGGGGGGAGCCCTAACAGAAGACCCGCCCCGCATATAAAGCCAGAGTCTATCACGCTTTCCCTCTCTGGTGTCGATTTTGGGGGCATGCCTTTGGGTTCCTTTGTGGCATGTGGCCCCGACCACTTCGTTTTCACACATGTTGAAGCATAATCATTGAAATTCTGGCTCCAGGGAGCTTCCTGAGCCTCCTGAACAAACGAAACACGCAGTTGTTGCATTGAAAAGTCGAATACATACTCTGAAGACGCATCGCCACCATCATGCAAATCATTAAAGGAAGTGTAGACGGAACTCCCATAGTTCCTGAACTAGTTGAGCCAGCTCTCTCTCTAAGAATGCATGCACCCACGCATGACCTTCATGACTAGATGCGTGGCCGAAAAGGTGGCTCTGTGCGTGAGTTCGGCTCTTCCGCATGTGTGCGAGCCATCTCGGTCGCATTTGCGGTTTTCCCTCTTTTTTCCTTTTTTTTTGGGGTTTTTTTCGGGGGAAGCGTTTTCCACTTTCGTGAGCTGGAGGCAGGGAGGGAGACAGAGAGAGGAGAGACAGAGAGCGAGAAAGAGAAATAACAAGAGAAAGAGAAAAAGAAAGAAAGCAAATAAAAAGAAAAGGAGAGGGAGAGAGAGCGAGAAAGATAAAGAGAAGAAGAAAGAGGGAGAGGAAGAGGCAGATGAAGAGGAAGAGGAAGAGAAAGCGAAGAGAAACAAGAAGAGAAAGAAAAGAGAAGAGACAACGATGTGTGCTCCAAACTATTTATTTTAAACACGTTCCGCCCCGATGGGCCCTGCCGGACATTATCGGTGTTTCATCGTTTCTTAAATCGGCAGCTCAAAAGGAAAGCTTCGAAGCTAGAGATTGAGTGAAGCACTTTCAGCTGATCATTTTTTGAAAAAGGACAAGCAAACAATCACACAACTCCTGAGCTAGATGCTGATCGTTTTTCAGCGGGTCGTTTTGAGGGAACGGCCTTCCGAGTTGGAACTTGAAGAAACTGCTTCAGCTTCAATGTGTCGAACCGATCAAGTTCGGGGAATATGGATCGTGTGGTCACAATGAAGAGATTAGAGGGGAGGACTCGGGACCACGCGTTTTTGATCCCCAAAGTTCGTGGCACTTGTTTTGTTGAGCTGTATCCCCTTCAGCCAACTCCAACGCGGCCTGACTTTTGAAGCAACATCATCAATGGTGCCCGGACATGTGCCACATGTTTACGAATGGGAACCGAAACATATCGAAACGCTTGGTTGTTTGAGGAGCCTGCAAAGGGTGCTTTAGACCTTACTCTTGTGCTTGTCCGATGCGAATTGCTTCTCCTCTGACAAAATCAAAGGTTCAAAGTGCACCAGTTTTGTGCTGTCTTGCGATGCACTGACCTTGAACATTTCACGATGTTGCTGCAATTGCGCAGCTTTCCGACTGTTCGCTCTAGCTTTTTAATCTGACATTTGGGCGTTTGAGCTTTGTGCTTTTGGAGGTTTTCCGCTGTTCGATTTGGATTTTTTGACCCTTGGATCTCCTTCCACGTTTGCACGGAAACGGACCGCGAATCTGCACGGAGATGTCCCTCTCTCACTAGATCTCTGGCCTGCAGTTTGCGAGTTTGCTAGCGGCACCTTCAACTGGCCCTGAATTTGGCAAAGTTGCAAATCAGATGGCAAACATGACTACGCAGGTACCAACTGACAACGCTCAATCAATTTGCGTGTCCTCAAAGGCTGAACACATTGATACATTGCGTGCTACTTTTTCTTCGTGACAAGCGCCCCAATGTGCAAGGGTCTGTTTTAAGCCAAGTAATTCAGTCTCTTAATGATCTTCGATTCGAAGATCCTACTAAGCTCTTTTCTGATAGGGTATCTGAAAACGTCAATACGGTATCTTCATCATATTTTTTTCATTCCGAAAATATTTTCTAGCGCTACCTTAGTCAACCCTGGCATTCAGCTAAAAAAAGATAATAAAGAGCAACAAACCATAAAGCTGATAGGAAATTCTCCTGCTAGTACAAAATTGAAGCGTCAAATTAGCTTGATGTCGGAAAATGCTAAAACATTGCTTACAGGAGAATACGGCATGGAAAAAAAGCAAATCGTGGCAGTGGCTTGCTTTCTACATTGTTGTTGCCGAGTGGCCAGTGGCCGCTGGTTTTGTCAAATCTGGGGCAGCAAGTGGCAACTCCGAGGATGGCAAGTGGACTGGGGCGTGCAGAACTACATGCACGAGGAGCCTGTGGCTCGGCAGATGGCTGGATGGACGTTCTCCAGTGCGAGCCATTGCTTGGGTCATTTGTTGATGTAGCTTTGTGTTGCCGCATCTCAACCCCATCCGATTCCGTTTTTTGAAGACATGTTGGATAGCTCAAAGGCAGAGTGACTCATCCCTCCATGGCCAGAGCATGGTTCTCGCGAGGTAGTTTTCGAGGTCTTCACAGCCCCTTGACAGAACGATTTGCTGCCTCTGGTGAGTTGCAGAATCAGCACAAGTCCAAGCAAGGTGCTTTTCATGATTGTCTTTTTGCTGGAGTTCTTGCTCCGATGCTTCGCCTTTGGCAAGTACTTATTCCACTGCCAGAATGCTGCCTCTTGGACCTGGCCATGTTGGGAGGGCGGGCACCATGCACGCCAAAGTACATGTTAGCCGTGGCACGGCCAGCTAGCCGCCTGACATGGCTTCAACTCGATAAGTCCAGGTTGGCCGTGTCGTGCCTTTCGGCATTGTACAGTGCACAATTCTGCTGTTGGTTTTGCGTATTCGCAGCGTAGTCACTTACAGTTATAATATTAATTACGCGGAGCCATGTTTGCCTCAGGAACTCGGGTGGAACATCTTTGATTGCGTCCTGGTGCTAAGCTCAATTGTGGATGAAGCCTGGCAGGAGAGTTTACACGCCATGCTGCTTTTTGCCAAGCTGCCAAATTGATCCAGAGTGTCAAGCAAAATCAACTCGTTATTTGTTTGCCGCCTTATCTGTTGCCTGCAGATAAGGAAATCATGAGCAGAGCTTCCGAGGGAATCAACGTGACTGCTTTGCGGGTGCTGCGGCTAGCACGGCTGCTCCGCATCCTGCGCTGCTAGACCTCAAACAAATGCATGGCAGCAGCATTCCGAGAGTGTGCATTTGTTTGACATTATTCTTGTGGAGCTATGATTGGTGCCAACAACGCGCTTTCCACCACGTTGGTGGACGAATTGAGATTGTTTGGGAAACGTGTTCAATGTCTTCCCAGCAACAATGCTGGGCAGGACACGTCTGTTTTGACGAGGACGTCGCGGGTGAAACACTTTGATTCTTCGATACTGAGGAGTCTTTCGAGTTGTTCGCTACTTCACAGATCTGCGGGTCATGGTGCAAGGTCCGCTCGGCTCTGAAGCCATGATGAGTTTGCAGAGTGGGGGCCAAAAGTTGCCCCTTCAGGAATCCTGCTGTCGTCCAAGACCTTGATTTGGGCCCTGGCTTTGCTTTTGATCCTAATGCTCCTTGGCCACGTACTGATGCAAGTGAGCCAGAGGGTAGAGGCAAGCAAACCATGGCCCGAAAAGAGTGGCCCTTGCAGATCCCAGGTTTTCGGTCACAGTCTGCATTCTTCAGTGCCCTGGCGGCAACTTCTGGTACCTGCTTGTTGCAGCCTGTTTCTTTGTTTGCCCTGTTGCATGGCAAGTGTTGGTGCAATCCTGCGTGGCCCCCGGCAAGAGCTGGCTGCGGTAAGGTTGTTGCGCC